CTCACGTCCTACTACCTCCCGCAGCTGCTCTCAATGGTGCGCTTTATTGGTGGTTGTCCGTCGAAGTGGCTGCGGGTGGTGCAGACGGAGCAGCTTTTCCGAAAGCCCACCCTCGTGCTGAGAAAGCTTTGGGCCTGGATCGGTGTGAAAGGGCCAGTCAGACTAGACGACATCATACCTGCCGGAGATCCGCGCAGGGCCATGGGGAAATTGACGGGTGGTAAGTGGCACTTGACGACCAACTCAAGCGTGTGTGGAGATCCTCAGATCATCGGGGGCCTGCACCAAGTGTACAGTCATTTGCACCTCATCTTGGCACGTTTAGTCGAGGGCTTGGGTGTGTCCTTGGCACCGTTTGACGTGGGTCTCTGGGCGAAGCCCAACGTTGCAGTCACAAATTGTTTTTCCAAAGCAGGCTAAGACTGCCATGTGGATGGATGACGGCTTCCCGTCAATGCTCCGGCAACCTATGCGAACTTGCCCCCGGCAGAAATCTTGCTTACTGCAGGCTTTAGACGTGCAGAATATGTCTTGTTACAAGGAATCAATCACGGCCTGAACTTGCGAAAGTCGATGGGGTTGCCGCCTGGCTTCAGAATCTTCACGCGACTTTCTGCTTAAATGGCCATGGCTATGCTCAGGCAGTACTTGTTTTACCTGGCCCAGATTGGGCTGGCCATGTCTCCCTGTTCGAACAATCAACTGCCACTCAGCAGCAAATACCATGGCCAAGTACGCAGCCGATATGTGCCTGGGTTTATATGATGGTTTCTATCATGGTAGGGCAACAGGCGCAGATTGTTTCGAGCGGACATGCACTTACGAGTCCAAGACAAGAAGCTATAATCAGACCCTGGTCCACTTCAGCAGTGAACCGCATAGGGTACAGGACGACGTGGGAGATCTTGCCAAGGTTCCTTGCATACGAGAAGAGCCCGTTTCCGGTGTACTTCTCGCGTGGCCTGAACGTGTCGTTGTCGACAGACGACCCGCTGATGTTCCACCAGACGAAGGCACAGAACTGAGACATGCTTGTTGGGCACGTGCTTTGCAGAACATAGAAGTCACTTGTGATATGCACTCTCATTGCAAGAAGTACGAGAAGCTGCAATGATGCTGTTGGTAGTCCGACCCCGGTGCCAGGAGCCGCTGATGGAAGAGCAGCTTTGCTGCAATGACAGTCAGCAGAGAAAGAGAGATAAGAAGAAGTTCAAAATTTCTGCAATGGGACTGTGGAATGAAACTCCTTGCTCGCACACTTGCCATGTGACAGCGTCCAGATTCGGTTTCTGAACAAGGGCCCCCCAAACGTTGTCGGCACATTCAGCAAAGCAGACGAAGCTTTGACTGAAAGAACCAGAAGTTCGCCACTCCTAGATCTCCTAGGCCAAAGTTGACCAAAACCACCTGTTGGTTCTCCGAGCCTGCAAAGTCTAGAAAGCTTTTTTCTGTTTTCTGCAACGCGAAGCAGGGCTGAATTACGGTGCAATGAGAGTTGCGCAGACATCCTTAGCACGTCCCAATATTTCCTGATATACGTGGCGCACTTCATCGGACTGTAGATGGACGGTAGGTATAGCATCGCCAAGCAGCTCTGGCACTTCACTTCCGTGGACCTTTGCGAGATGGCCCGGAACTCTGTGCTGCAGAGCGGCTTTGACGAGGAGACCAAGGCCCCATGCTTCGAACGGAGTTGAGAGGGCTTTTCCATGAGCGTGGTTTCCATCCAACGGGTTTTCATCATGCCCTTTCAAGATTTTTGAGATGATCTCAGAATGCTCTCGTAAACTTGGTGGGTTGAAGTGAACAGCTACTTCAAGACCTCACCGCCAAATTTTAATGACTCCTTCTGGTTTCCTGCTCAGGCTACATGGTTTGGCTCCAAGGATTATCGCCACGAGAACAAGACTACATCGACGAATGTACCAAACCTGAGGACGTGTGGGTCGCTTGATTAAGTTGTACTTGTTGTAGAGCTTGTGCTAGACCCACTTTGTCGGACGTTTGTTAAGTAACGAGGCTTAGCACGAGAACCAGACTCGTTGCTGAGGTATATTCTTGAGGGTTTCTAGTCTAGCGCTTTGAAGCATCGGCCGGGTCTAACTTCAATCATGCAGTGAGATTCGCGTGCGATTCCAGCAGGCAAGGAGAATGTGCTAATCGAGCACCATCCTGATTCACACGCGCAGCACAAACGTCCATTCAGTTGTTGAAGTTTCCACCATGCCCAATTCAAGCACATGCTATCGGGCGGTTCAAGAGGGTTAAAGATTTTCCTTCTCCCGAGCACCATGGTAGCACTATGGGATTCTTTCTTCGGAGTGAAGAGACTGTGGCGCAGTGCAGCGCATGTTGCACTGATCACATTATTTCCACAGTCCTGCTGAGGCCAAGTCCTCGGGATGCCGAATTGCTTGCCAGCCTTACAATTTTGGCTTCATCGTTGCATTCCAAAACCTCTAGAAATGCAAAACGTTCTGGCAGCACATGGTGTGCGGTCTTTGACTGTTTGGGGTCTGCGCTGGCATAATTTTAATAGGTTTTTTGGGGTTTGGCTTCGTTGCTTTAGGGTTTCCTGCTTTAGGATTTTGGGGTTGTTTGGGGCTTCACAGCTTTGAGGTTTCAGGGTTTTGAGGGTTCATGCTTTGCGTTGAAGTCTTTTGGGTTTGGGTAGGGTTTTCAGGTTGCAAGACTTTTAGGGCTTAGGGTTGTTGGGCTCATGCAGGAACCCTGAGTGTGATCCTGCCGCGGTCCCCCGTGTCCACGTGCGAATCTGGCATCCCATGTACGAATCAGCCCGTAAACGAATTTTAGGGACCCAAAAAGCACATAAAGCAGAAGCTTTTTATAGGGATATCCCTACCTTATTGGGCTTCATTATAAGGGGATTTATATGGGATATCCGGGTCCTAAGTTTTGCTTATGTGCTTTTTTGGGGCCCTAGAATTGACCATGCGCGAAGTATCCACTCGGTGCGCTTCTAGCACGCGAACCGGTTCTTCCACTGCGCGAAACGGCTTGTCACGGCTGTGGCTTTGCAAGAACATGCAAGAAATTTACCCTGCCGTGCATGTACGGTTAGGGACCAAGTCTAGCTCGTGGGTTTTGACAACAGATGATTGCCAGGATTGCGTATCGCAAGAGGGTCTATCAGGAGGAGTTGCATCTGCTGGAAGCTAGCGACTCTCGGCTGTGGGCTGTGGGTCGTAGCATGTTAGGGTTTTGCCAAACGTTTAGAGACGGGGGCGGCGCTAAGCTTGTGATGCTCGTGAGGCAGATGACGCTGACGATGTCGGTGTCATGTGCAACTTGCTGCTTCTCTCCCCGACTCGGCGCTTACAGCAGCATCGTGGCTGCCAGAGCGGGGAATTGCGAAACATGAAAATCAAATCGGAGCATCTTGGCTCAATGATGGCTGCAGGTCTGACTTTGCCGGCTTCGGCTTGGACTCCGAGCCCAAAGCTACTTGTCACGTTTGTCGAAGGATTTGGCCAACTAAACTGGTTGAGCAGCGGCGAAGACACACGGAAACAGGGTCAGCTTCAACATGTTTCACAACGAGTGATGGATCTGCCAAGATTCGGCCGTTCGCTGCTGCCTTGCCGGGTGAGGACCAGGTGCCCGTTTGGGCTGAGTGCCCGCCTTGCCGTTCGAAGCACAAGAGACTGCAGAGGCCCTGTGAAGTTTTGGAGACAGGATCTCAGCACGCTCATGGATGCCTCGATCCAGCAGGAAAGCCTTCAGGAGGAGATGGGCGAGCAGATGGTGACTCGACTGAAGGCTTGGGGAGCTCCGAGAGGCGGAAGTTGCACTCACCGAATCTCACCTTTTGATTCTTCTTCCCATCCGAGCGCTTAGGATTGGTCCGTCCGGTCATTCGGCGGCACGGCCATGCACGACCCTGAGTGCAGGAACTCTGGTGGCGGATATGCAGCTAAGGACTGGCCACGGCCCGCAGTCGAGCAAGATTTCGAAGATAGTCTCGCACGAAATCCTTGCGATGGAGACCCGGCAAGAAAGACATGCGACACTTAGCGGAGAAGTGACGATACTGATGGAAGAGACTGTGCCAGGATCAAAAGAACCGGAAAGGGTCCTTTGATGGCATCAGCCACAAGCCTCACGGCTAAATACGGACCTGCGGACCTTCCTCTAGCGAGTTCATTTTGCTTGTTCCCGGCCCAGGGGTGCCATTCCTGTCATTACAAGAGACTATAGCGAGCACAGTATGGTCATGAACGAGAAGACGAAGGACTGACCGGCAGGTTCGGAACGACCACGTCTATGGAATAAGTAGAGTTCTTGAGGAGGAATTTCTTCTTCGACTTAATCACGAGTTCGCGGCCCAAAGAGCTTCACAGCAAGGCCAGCAGATGCTCTCTCTCGGAGCCTCGGCCTATTGAACTTGGTCGGTGCAGAGACTTCCATACCTGCTATGCTGTGGTATGCTGCGCTTCTGTGCAGCGAGGGCTGAGCTGAGCCAAGGCGTGGCTGTTCTGATCGGCTGCCTCAGTGGCGCCCTGACCACCTGGCTGGTGCGAAGGAAGGGCCTCAGAGTGTTACGGTCGGCTGCCAGAATGCCGTCTGCGGAATGTGGCAGACCCTGTTAGGAAGTTGGGTATGGGGGTGCCATGTGACACCTATGCAGTTTCGTTCCATCGCCCCTCTTGGCACAGGTGACTCTGGTGCCGGCCGGAAGATGGCCGCATCGTGACCTTCGTTCAGCGCAATAGAAACAGAGCTCGGTTCAAAAAGGATGGCATCTCAATGATTTGTTTTGACACTGTCTTGGGCACCGGCTGCTGAAGACTACTATTCTTGGGATTTGAGCCTCCATGCCAACATGTTCCGAAACCCAACTTGGGGTTGGAGAGCAAGTTCTAAACTGCAGAAGTGACAGAGTGCTGATTATGTTGGAAGTGCTTTTTGTTTTTACCGTATCCGACATCCTATCATTATCACAACCTGACATTGTCCACTACTCATGCTGAGCGTGACAGGCCGCACATGCCAACAGGGAGCGAGAGATTCTGGAGGCCTCCCAGCAGGTGGAAGGCTCCATGAAGCAACGACCGCTCTGCTGATCTGACAGGCAGGCTTTCTGCAGCGCCTGGCAGGGGCAGAGCGGCAGCGCGATGCGCTGCAGGCAAGGTCGGTCGCACATTTTCGTTTGCCTTGGATCGTGTGGGCTGAGTTCAGAAACAGCACACCCATCTACACTCGCACGTGCGGCTGTACAATGTGCTGCTTTTGTCGACCCGGCTTGGCTCCAAGACCCCTCATCTAGTCACCAATTTATACTTGTCTCTGCCCCTCCCCCTCTCGGCATTCACTCTCGCTTTCAGGATTCGCAAAAACACGTCTGCGGATGTATTGCCAAGTTGTAACCCACATTCCTGTCTGCACTTACCTACAGACGCCTGAACAAGCATGCTCGTGTGAGTACCTGAGTACCTTTGTGCACACCGCTCGCCCAGAAGCATGTCAATTCGCACTGGTACTTGGTCGCCGAAGGCTCAAATCAACTACTCGGTCTATGACGTGTCGAGGGACAAGGACTTGCTGGAGGCTGGTGATGGCTGGTGTTTCGCTACGGCATTGGGAGGTCAGTCTCCGTCTTCATCTCAAGTGTGGTTTCATACATTGGTGCACTGAGGGCCGAAGCATCGCTCTCGAAGTCAAGCTTTGGAGATTTTACATCCCTAAACCCTAAACCCTAAACCCTAAACCTTAAACCCTAAACTCGGGTGATCATCAGTCAGCTCTCCAGCTTGTACTCGCAGTGGGGGTCAAGACATAAGACGCATGAGCCTTGTACCATCCAGCAGCAAGCAAGGGCCAACCCCAGACCTCATAACCATGTACCCACCCTAGGATTTTAATATCCCGAACAGTATCCTAAATCAAGCCTTAAAAACCCATCTAAACCGAAGCCACCTGCCAAATCCCACGCCGAAATCCCAAATACAATCCAAAACACAAAGCACCTCCCAAATCCCACGCCGAAATCCCAAATACAATCCAAAACACAAAGCACCTCCCAAAAACATAAGGTTTATAGTTGAAAATGTGTATTTTACAAATTCCGTATTTCACAAAATGACTTAAAGACTTGAGGACTTAAGATAATAGAGAGTAAATGTTCAGTCATGATGAACTGGAGGAAATTATTAGTGAGTTCTTGAATGTTATTGAGATGAAAGCCATTATTAAGGATAAAGTGAGTAGGTGTGCTTCATGTAAGTTCAATCAAAAGAATATGTCTCTATATAAACTGAATATACCTGTCACTATTATCACAAATATTTGTAAATATAGTTATGAGGAATGCGAAGTGTGTAAACTTTAACAGAGTTTAAGGAGAATGTTCATGATTGTAGTGTTGCAGATTTTGAAAATGTGGCTAAAGCAGTTGAAGATAAACCTAAATACAACATAACAAACTACACAGACGAGAAATTAGATACATAAATATATTATTATGTTAAATTAAATCCATTTCCTAAATTTGAGAAGACATACGATGGTCCAAAACTGTATTACCAGAATTCAAACTTTATATTGCTGAATTCTACAATGACATTAAATTATTATACGATACTGCATTTAATGTTGATGAAAAAGTAAAACAATTTTACAGTAAGCAACGAAACATCATAACTAATGATTATGAAAAAATGTAGATGAAAAGAGTAATACAAAGAGAAAATTTGTTAATCATCTTGAAAGACAAATGAATAAAGTTGAAAGTGCAATTTATACAATTCTATCACACATAAACAACAATGAACAATTGAGCAAATTAAAAAAGGAATTGTATTCAAATGAAATTTTTAGATGGATTAATAAACGAATAGCAGAAGTACATTTTGAAGATGATTTTTCATTTGAAAGATTTATGGATAAGAGATACGCTTATTCACCGACAGTACCATACAAGAAACAAAAACCAGTGAGAGACGATACGGATTATCTAAATACTATAGATGATTGCTTGATGTAATATATTAACAAAATACAATATTGTTAATATATTATTTCACCTAATACACATCGTTTTAGGGGTAAGATTTCAGATAAGGGTCTAACCCCAACCTCATTAGGAATAGTTGAGGGTGGGCTTTGCTTAGGTGGCTTTGGTTTTGAAGGCTTTTTGTTGAGGGTTTTGGCTGGTGGCTTTGGTTTAGGGCTTTAGTAAAGTTCTTGCTTTAGGCTCTTCGGATTTGGGAGGCTTTTGGTGAGGATTTGGCTGGTGGCTTCGGTTTGGATGGTTTTAAGGCTTGATTTAGGATACTGTTCGGGAATTGGGTTAAAATTATAGGGTGGGGTACATGGGTATGAGGTTGGGGGTTAGCCATTGCTTGCTCCAGCACCCCATCGAGCCCAAAGCAAACTCGCGGCAAAAGGCAAGGCTTCGCGGAGAGTTGGACGACGCGAAGCACCAGCGCGAAGTTCAGGAGGCAGTGCTTGTGCACATGGACCTGTTGCACTGCATCATATCGAACGGGTTCATACATACAGAAGCAGAAGGTTGGGTGCGAGGTAAGACCAACATGGGCCAGATGTGCGAGAGCTTCAGGACAATGAGCAGTTGGTTTCCTTTGGAGGATAGTGCGGCTTGTTCGATCACACTGTTCAATGTGATCCGCACTTTAGAGGGGTACGCCTGTTGGATGACAGGTACCGCTGCTTCAGCTAGTTTCTCAGCCCCCGTCGCTCCGACTGAGACCTGCTTCCGTTGACAGGCGAAGATGTTTGCAGTGATGCAAGATTCAGATCGCCAGAGAGAGATAGATCAGGCAGGGAGCATCACCTATGTCCAAGCTGGAACACGCGGGGAAACCGCGAGGCGAAGCTTTCTGCCCTTCTACATGATGAAAGGCGGCAGCATGACGTCCGCCAGGCTAGAACATCGTACAGTCGTACATGCAGACCATCCCGACATGCTCTGTGCTTGTTGTGTAGTACACTTGTGTACGCAGTAACAATCGGAAACGGCGAACGCCGACAGCACTTGGCCCGAATCGCCGTGAAAGCTTTTTCTCTTAGCTCCTTCGACGTCGACGCCATGTCTTCTTCAGGAGCCGGATCCTCCAACGCCGACCTGCCCGTGAAGGCGCCGCCGGTCGCTCGAAAGGCACCGCCGGCTTCAGCACCAACGACGCTGCCGAATGTGATCCCTGACTTCGGCATCGAGAGGGCAGTCGCCGAGTTCCGTGCAGTGCTTACGGCGGGTCGGCAGGGCGGATATGGCGCTTGGCGCGCCTTCGCCGAGCAGATGAACATGGAGGACCGCCGTGCTGACTATGACCCCGCCGTTGGCTACGCCGTCCAACAACGAGGTCACTCAGCACTTCACCCGCCGCTTCCCGACGATGGTCACCACAGCGGCCCAGGTGAAAGCGGCGCCGGTCATACCGCCGATGAGATCGCCTTGGCGCCGGTTGCCGACGGCGAGGTACCCGACCCACCGCCGAGGAAGAAGATCAAACTATCTAGCAGGACGTCGAACGGGGCCGAGGTCATAGTGCTGTCGGCGTTCGACGGGGTGGGAGCCGGCCCCTGGATTGTTTGGGACCTCATCGGCGAGCCCAGAGCCATCCTGTCGTGGGAGGTCGACCGCGCTGCCGTCCAGGTCGCCGACTACAACATCCCCGGCATCTACCGCCGCGGCGACATCACGGAGGACTCCCCGAAGACACGGCGAAGCAGATCGCCGAGCTTGACCCCGAGGCGGGGTGTATTATTTTGTTCCTCGCCGCCCCGCCGTGCCAAGACTTCTCCCGTGTGGGCGACCGAGAAGGGCACGACGGCAACCGAGGATACCTCGTCAACTCCACGGCGGACTTTGTCGCCGAGCTCCGGGGCCTCATCGCGCCGCGCCGCCTCGGCGTCCTGGTCGAGAATGTTGAGATGACCCGGGCGGACGCTGCGGCGGCGACCAAAAGACTTGGCTTCGAGGCGGTGTTCGCCGACGCCGCGGACTTCGGTTGGATAGGCCGACCTCGCCTGTGGTGGACGTCGATTGACTGGGACGAGGTCACCCACGACCCCACGAGAGATGGACATGGGTCCTGCGTCGCCGCTGGAATCGAATTCGGCTGGACTCCCCACGCGCGGCCGCCGACGCCTTTAAGTTGGATGGCCTCAAGTTCGCCGACGCCGTCTCGTCGGGAAGATTGAGGTTGCCGTGCTCCACCCCGGCGGCTGATGAGAGAGGTCGCCCGCCGCCGCGGTCGATGCGAGGAAAGGTGACCACCGACGTCCAGCAGCGTTGGCTGCTGGACAGTCAACAGTTCGCGCCGTGGCACCACCAGAAGGAAGCGATGCTCGCCGACGACCAGGGCAAGCTGGTGGTCCTCACGCCGGACGCTAAGGAGCAGCTCCACGAGGTCGGCGGACGGCGAGCTGGAACCAAGGACCCCACACCGGCTCATCGGCAACTGATGGCACTGGAGCGTGGCTCGCCGGATCATCCTGGCCCTCCTATAGTCCATACGGCGGTCGCCGCCACCGAGGCCACGGAGATTCCCAGGTCGCCGATTCAATGGATCCTGACATTGCGCGGTATGTGGCGCCGTGACCTGCCGAGAATCCGCAGTGAGGTCATCGCCGAGGTTCAGGGCATGGTGGAGGACCTCGCCGAACAGACGCAGGCATGGATGACGGCGAGACCGTCGTGGGTTCGAAACACATACAAGGACCGGCCCACGCAGGTGCTGGTCCTCCTGGAACTTCTTCGCCGGCTCGACTACCCCGACCTCGCCGCGCTTGAAGAGGACATGACCGCCGGCTTCCAGATGCTCGGCGACAGAAGACCAGGGCCAGGATGGCGGGCGCGAGACGACGACAGGTACCAGAACCCCAGCAGCATGGACGAGTTACGGCGAGTCAACGCCGACTACGTCAGGGCCAAGGTTGCCTCTCGGAAGCCCGACGAGGCACGCCGAGAAGCTGCTGAAGGAGCTCATCGACGAGAAGAGGTTGCGCCGGGTGATTGGATCCACGCGCCCGCCGTCATGGCTCAAAGGATCCATTGCAACGGCGGTGCCGGACGTGGCAGACGCCGACACACTAGTGGAACCACCGCCCGGCGACCGCTTCCTCGCCGCGTCGTTCCCAGTGTGCCAGACCGACGAGAACGGGGACCTCAAAGTACGCCGAGCCGAGGACTGGCGCCGCTCAGGGCACAACTCGACGATCAGGGTGACCGACGTTCCCACGCATCACTTCATTGGATCATTCGTCGACTTGGCCCGCCGTCTTGCGGCGGACTCACATTGGAGGCCCGCTGGGTCGGCATAGGGTTGAAGCCGTCGGGCACATGTCCTGCCTTGTGCTGTTTCTCGTCGGCGAAGAAAGCGTCGGCGTACAGTGTGGCGAGGTCCATGTTCTCGGCGTATCGGCAGTGGCCGGTTCACCGACCGGCGGAGTGTGGCACTTTCCTGCGCACCGAACACGGCGTCGCATTCTGGTACCACCTGGCCATGAACTTCGGCGCGACGGCCTCAGTCTGGAATTTCAACAGGAGCGCCGACGCACTGCAGCAGCTCCTTCGGGGGCTGCTGCTCGCCGCCGCGGGACATTATGATGACTTCAACGGCCTCGACGACGACGCGCTGGCGGACTCGGCGGCCGACTCCTTCAAGGACCTCTTCGCCGAGCTGGGCATCCTGACCAAGGCGTCCTAGGCACAACCGCCGGCCGACGAGCACATCGTACAAGGAGTCAAGTTCCACGTTGGCGCCGAAGGGGTCACACTTAGCCCCACTTCGGCGCGAGTCAAGAGCGGCGGACACGGCAGCGAGATCCGCCGACCAGCTCTCGCCGGGACTATCTGCGGCGCTCAGATCCCTACATCAGATTCTCCCGACGATGCGTCGTGCCGGGCTGGTTTGTGCAGATCTTCTCGGCGAGAAAGGCCTACATCTACATGTTGGAGGTCTTCGCGCAGCTCGCCGCCTTTGTCACCTTCGCCGCGGTCCTCCCGCCGTCCATCATCGCATTCATTGATAATACGGCGGGACAGGCGGCCCTGTCCAAGGGATACGGCAAAGACCCGGCGATCAACGGCGTGATCTCGGGTTTGAGAGGGTGCCGTCCACGGCCAACATCGCCGACGCCGTATCCAGACGCGACTTCTCCAGGGCCCGCCGGGGAGGTTGGACCAGGGTGAACACCCCCCACGACGAGATCCTGCGGATCTTCGCCGGGGCAGCCAGAGACATTGAGTTTGCTACTACTTCGGCGGCCGACGACCTGCTCCTGACGGCGCAGGGCATGCACTTCTGAGCCGGCGCGTGGTGGGTAGGCGGTGCGCACGGCGGGTGCTGAATGCGCCCTGACACCGGCTTGCCGTTTTGCTTGTTTCGTCGCCGAACGGCGTGTTACAGCGCTTAATTACACCACACGACGAAAAGAAGTGCTCGTCGTTAGTAAAATGTTTAGGTTCGATTCGGTAGTCAGAGTGCGCCGATTGTTGTGTAGTACACTTGTGTATGCAGTAACAATCGGAAACGGCGAACGCCGACAGCACTTGGCCCGAATCGCCGTGAAAGCTTTTTCTCCCACCCACTCCACCCTTTTGAGTGCCTTTTCGGCGGACGGCGAACGGCAGCGGGTCGGGTGCTGAGTGCGCCCCGACACCGGCTTGCCGTTTTGCCTGTTTCGTCGCCGAACGGCGTGTTACAGCGCTTACACCACACGACGACAAGAAGTGCTCGTCGTTAGTAGCATGTTTAGGCTCGATTCGGTAGTCAGAATGCGCCGATTGTTGCGCTTGCCTTCGAGCGGTAGCCATTTGCAGCTTTCAGGCTCGACTGACAGAGACTTTCCGAAGGCACAAGCTCATGCTTGTAGTTTTTTCTTTACATCTTCAGCGCACTTGTCACTTTCAACTCGTGACGTCGCCTTCAGCTAGCTCATGTTGGCCAGGCAAGAGCTCAAAGCACATCAGCACCACGAAGAGTCAGTCTCCCAGCACGGCGCACTCTGCATAAACCTCGAGTCACATGTGATTTGCCAGTGATTGTTGTGGCCCACAAGGCTGGGTGACCAGCTGCGACACCAAAGAAGTGAACTTGCGGAGGAGTTCACCGACATTTTGTTTTTGCTCATCCCCTCTGTGTATTTAGATAAAGATAGAGACTAATACAGATATAGATAAGAAGAGGCCTGTGTTGATAAAGTCTGGAGATTGTCATGAGGCTGTGAGGCTGCCCGGTGCTGCAACGAGGTATTTTGGAGCAGTTTGCATGCAGCTGTTTTCGTTTGCAACAAGGAGCCTTTGTATGCCTCTGTCATGTTGGGAAGATCGGAAGAATCGGAACCGCAAGGAGCGCCGGCGAACAAGCGTGCTACAAAGCGAACTGGAGTCGGCCCAGGCCATATTTTGCAGGGAGCACGGCTTGTTGTGTTGTGTTGTGTTATGTTATGTTATGTTATGTTATGTCATGTCATGTCATGTCATGTTATGTTATGTTATGTTGTGTTATGTTATGTTATGTTTTGTTTTGTCATGCTTGAGTGAGGTCTAGGGCTCAGGGACAGGGAAGAGCAACGGGATGATACAGGCGGGATGCATCGTCAAGCTTCTTCCAGCGTGCTGTCAACCCATGCCAGGGCACGGAACAGGAGAAGGAGATCAAGCTGAGGCGCAGCCGAAGGACGGTCAATGTGGGACGGGATTTTTTTGGATCACCCGTCCCGTCCCAACCTTTACAGCGGGGGAGGGTGGGGGGGGGTCGATGATTCGTGCAAGATTAGTGCGCGCTCACAGTCAGGACGGTCCCACAGACATGCAGGCGCTGCAGGCAAAACGTCTGGACCACGAGTTCCTGAGCTGGGACATGGCTGAGTCTGCGCAGAGAGAAAGCACAGAGGAGTGTGACTGATTGCTACGCTGGCAACTTGCGTATGTACATACATACATGCATGCATACATACATGCATACATACAGGTACATACAATACACAGTCGATTATTGACGATTCCGGCTCTTTTGCAGTGCGCAGGTTCCATCATATCTTAAACCCCAAACCCCGACACCCTAAACCCACAGCGCCCAGGCTCCATCATAGATGCTGAGGTTGAAAGGCTCAGTTCCTCGACGACCGCTTTCGACTTCGCTTCCGAGGCGATGCCACCGGAAGCTGGCTCACCTTTTCGGGTTTGGGGTTTACGGTTTAGGTTTTTTTGTTAATAGGGTTTAGGGTTTAGGGTTTAGGTTTTAGGGTTTAGGGTTTAGGTTTTAGGGTTTAGGGTTTGGGGTTTAGGGTTTGGGGTTTAGGGCTTAGGTTTCAGGGTTTGGGGTTCGGGGTTT